CCTCTGGCATCCCAAGCGAGTTCTTAACCATCGCGCCACTCGGCCGGCCCTATATAATTTAATTTTTGATAACGGCTGTGTTTAAAAGCGACTGGCAAAATTTCTAAGCATTCCTCAATAGTTTCTAGCGAGCCCGTAGGAGCCAACAATCAGCACATTGATCAGATGAGGTACCTGAGGCACAGAAAGGTTAAGCAATTTGCTTAAGCCTGCGGAGCTAATAAATTTGTCTACTACTCCAAAATGTATCCTCAGAATCCAATATAGTGACAGGCAATAGTTGGCTTTCAATAAACGATCGTAAATATATTAATACATATTTAAGACTCTTTAAAAACATAAAGAGAAACATTTTAACGTTAAAACCATACACACAGAGTGAAATTAACATCTCTAAAACTCGCTCACAATTCTAGGAAGATAACTGCCTTTACTCGTCTATTTTCAGCAGCACTTTAGCCCCTGAGCGCTTTTATAGTTCACCTGTCATCACAGGAGACGTCGCCCAAACCTTTACTACAAGCTTGAGACGCCCCGCTTTCCGTCGTCCCGCCCTGCCTCGCCGCAAGGATTCCTGGGAGGAGTAGTCCCCAGTCTGGCAGCTCTGCCGGCAGCAGCGACGCGCGCCGGGCCGCGGAACTACAAAGGGTGGTGCACAGGTCGCAAGGCTCTTCCGCCTCGCCTTTCCCTCCCCGCCGGCGCGCCCGCCCCAGCTATCATGGCGGCTCCCTTGGCCCTGGTGCTGGTAGTGGCCGTGACCGTGCGGGCTGCCTTGTTCCGCTCCAGTTTGGCCGAGTTCATCTCCGAGCGGGTGGAGGTGGTGTCCCCACTGAGCTCTTGGAAGAGAGGTGAGGCCACCGGCTCGAGTAGGCGGCCAGGTCCCTCCTGTGCTCTCCTGGCCTCTGAATGGAAGGCGGGGGCAGTGGCCAAAAGCTCAGGATTCTGAGGGAACTGATTCGGTCTGGTGTCGTCTGCGAGGGCAGGAGGGCGGGGCCTGAGGGCCGGGCTGGTGAGGGAGCGGGGCGTGAGATTGTGCGATGAGCTATGGGCCCTCGGGTCGGGATCACTTGAGGGGTGGGGATCTGAGGGGGTGTGTCCCACTCGGGCTCTGAGCGGAGGGGTGTGGTCTGAGGAAGGGTCTGAAAATGAAAAGAGCATGGTGGGTGGAGTGAGAACTGAGGAGGGGCTTGGGATTTGACGCATGATCCCTCGTGGTGCTCCCAGGAGCGTGGGATGGTGTGTGAGGGGACCAAACTTGCCTAAGCGAGGAGCGGGTGTAAGGTGCTTACGCGCCTGTTTCCTATTCTCAGTCTGCGACGTTCAGTGCAACTTTTCCTACTGTTTCTTCTTCCTTCTTTGAGTTCTTAATTAAACGTTGTTTTGTACTAGCGCCTACAATGAGACAGAATTTGGGCCAGAGGATACACCAGTCCTTCTAGTGGGAGAGACAAACAAAATCATTTATGAAAAGTGTACTTCCAGTATACATCCAGCTCCTTCCTTGGAGTTCACACCCTGAAGAAAGTGCCCTCTACTTTCCCAGTTTCCTAAGGTTGAGGGGATTTGAGCTAACTGTTGAAGGATGTAGAGTTTGGAAAGGGAGAGTAGTTAGAGAAAGGGAAGTTCCAGGTAGCAGAAGGTAAACAGGATCAGTAAATGTTGAAATACGTGATACGTCCGAAGCAGGGGAGTATTGGGGTGGGGATTAGGTTACAGCCAGAGTTTGAAGGTTTTTCTTTAAAAACTTTTTTTCTTTTTTTACTGAAGTACAATATACGTACAGTGCCCATATAATAAGTGTAGAGCTTAATGAATTTTTATAAATTGTATATACCCGTCTAACCAGCACCCAGATCAAGAAACATTACCAGCACCCCAGAAGTCTCCTTCCTGTGCTGGCACTTTAAATTCTAGAATTTTGATGTTATCCCATAGACATTTTGGAATAGGGAATGGAATAATGAATGGGTATTTTATGAATAGAGGTAAGGTTTCTAAAAATACTTACTATATATCTGAAACTATGATAAACCTCATTTTATCCTCAAGTTATTCTGTGTGTTAGATGGTGATCTTTTCCACATTTTAGCTGAGGAAGCCGAGATTTAGAGAAGTTAAGTAATTTGCCCAGAGTTCCCAGTTGACAAATGGTAATAAAGGTAGTAGTAATTCACATGTTTGATGGTAAGAGCTTAGACTTGATATCTTTGCATATAATATTTGCATATAATTACTTGTTGAACAAACTGAATTGTTTGTTGAAGCCACTTGGTTCCTGCTTTCTTCTGGATGCCAGAAGACCCAAGGCAGTATTAGGCCCTCCTTCCCCTGCTCTCTTAGCACTTTATACAGACCTCTATTAAGAGCGTTTCTCATCATATATCATAATTATTTGTTTATATCTGGTTTCTCACTGTACTGTGAGCTCCTTGAACGTCAGAGCTGTTTTATTTATTCCTGAGTCCTTTGTGCCTTATGCAGAGTAATTGCATAGTTACTGTTGAATAAATATTGAAGAAAAGAAAACACAAGATCTGGTTACTTATGGAATAGACAGGGTGAAGGATCCAAGATGAGTCAATGTCATATGCTGATTAAGACACAGGGTCTGGGATCTTAAAAAGGGGTTGAGTCTCTTTCTGCCTCTGCTACTTACTATCTGTGTGACCTCTAGCATCTGTTTTCTCATCTATAAAATAGAGTTATAATATGTACCTCATTAAATGAGATAGTCTGTGTTGAAGCTCTTAGCACAATAATGAAAATCAAAATGACTAATTCTAAGATTTTGAGTTTAATAGGGAGAATAGTGGTGATATGGCTGAAATAGATGAATCAGAAAGGATAGCAGTGTTTGATATGTATATAAGGGGATAGTATGCTAGTCAAAGGTTTAGGTCTGGAGCTTGGGGCCAATGTCAGAGCTAGAGAAAGATTTGGTAATCATCCATCTGGATCTGATTAAGTCAAGACAATTATTTGTTTCATTTTGGGGAGGTTACAACATCTGTAAGTTACCTGTCTTCAGAGTATACTTGAAGATGAAATATTTAAAAAAGCAGTTGATTGTATTAAACCCTGAAAGATAGGCATTTAAAAATATTGAAATAGAAACTTTCCTGGTTTCGCATGACATTTTTCTTTTTGAGCGACCAATCTTTGGGTAAAAGGCTTTGGATCCAAGTAGATTTTTATTGGCTGTAATTTTTAATGGGAATAAGTAAGAAGTTATATACTTGGAGGGGATGATTCTTGTCTTCAAATATCTAAAGAGTTTTAAATTGGTGGTGTCAATTCTTTCATGTGCAGATGACAGAATCCCAACTGAAACTGTCCAAATTTTAATAGAAAGTGAACTTATTCGCCTACATAATGGAACAGTCCAAGGGTAGATCCAGACTTTAGGCCTAGCTGGATCTGGAGACTCAGTGATCTCATCAGGACTGATTCTTTTTCCATCTTGGCATTGACTGCATTCAGAAAGGCTCTTCCCAGGTGTTGGCAAGATTGGTCACTAATAGCCTTTGACTTTTATATCCTCACAGTGTCAAGTCCAATGGAAAGAGGGTGCCCTCTTCTCCAATAAGGACAACAAAAGTCTTGAAATGGAGTCACATTGAACTTATTTGGGTAGTATGCCAATTCTTAAACCAATTATTATGGTCAGCCTGGGTCATGTATCTATATCTACCTCTTTGGAAAGGGGGCAACCTCCCAAACCATGGAAAAGGGGGTTATCCCATAGGGAAACTAGGATGCTGTTACCAAAAGAGGGGAAATTGATACTGGGCAGGTGGAAATAACAGATATCCTTTATAATAGCAAAGAGATCTTTTCTGTGTCACTCATTTCTACAGATCCATCAGTTTATTTGATAGTCTAATTAAAATTTATACAAATTTCCTGGTTGACAAAATGCAAGCATGTGCTTCTTAGCCCAATAAAAACAATAATAACTAACACTGATGTAATGCTTTCTACATGCCAGGCACTGTTGTAAGCACTTTAGGGATATTAAAAAGCTAATTTAATCTCTATAATGGCCCTATGATGTAAATTCTATTGTTAGCCCTATTTTGTAGATGAGAAAATTGAAACACAGAGAGATTGTCACATGTCCAAAGTCACATAGTATTTTATGTGAATAGCTAGCGATTCTTAGGCATGTCTGTCCCACCAGAGTTCACTCTATGCCATCTTGTCTAGAAATCTGTCAGGAATAATTTTGGAACCGTCTGTCATTTTCTGGTATTTCCTCAGCCTAAGGATTAGGAATTAGTGTGGGCTTAGGTTCTTGAGTTCAGGGTAGAGTCCAAGGTATTAGTGCTTATTTAGAAACCCACCTCCAATGCAGCTGTGAGAGTCAGGGTGAGGAGGAACACTTCTGATAGCACTACTTAAAAAAAACTTACTGTTAAATAAAATACAGAATTAGTAAGCCACATACAACAATGTATTGTACTGTGAATTATTATAAGGCAAACACTTTTGTAATGATCATCTAAGTCAAGAATCAAAACTTTGCCACTCACTCCAGAAGCCTTCCCATATGCCCCATGTCCCCATGTCAATCACAGCCCCTTGACCCCCTCATAAGTAACCACGTAATGACATCTTTATGTTTTTTTTTGTTTTATTACCCAAATGAGCATCTGTAGACCCTAGCTTAGTCTTGCCCTTAAAAAAAGTTGTTTGTTTGTTTTTTTAAGATTTTTTAATTGGAGAATTGGGGGAGGGGAACAGCCAAACTGTTGTCCTTCAGTCTGAGTTGTGGAGGGCGCAGCTAGCTCAGCTCCAAGTCCAGTCGCGCCACTCAGCTCAAGGTGCTGTGTTCAATTAGTTGCAGGTGGGCATAGCCACCATCCCATGTGGGAGTCGAACCAGCAGCCTTGTTGTTAAGAGCTCATGCTCTATCCCCTGAGCCACCCAGGCGGCAGCTCAGTTCAAGGTGCCTAGTTCAGTCTTTAGTTGCCGGCGGGTGTGGCCCACCATCTTGAACATGCAACCTTGTTGTTAGGAGCACGTGCTCTCACCAGCTGAGCTATCCTGCCACCTGTTGGCAGCTCAGTGGCAGTTCAGCTCTGGCGCAGCTCACTGGCCCATGTGGGAATCAAACCGACGACCCTGTTGCTCAGAGCTTGCACTCTTGAGCAAGCTCTTAACCAACTGAGCTACTTGGCTGGCCCTAAAAAAAAAAGTTTTTATATGTCTTTTTTTTTTTAAGATTTTTATTGGGGAATTGGGAAAGGGAACAGTGTTTGGGGAATTAGGGAAGGGAACATTGTGTTTTGCCAGGTCCCATCATCTCCAAGTCAAGCTGTTATCCTTCATTCTTAGTTGTGGAGGGCGCAAGCTCAGCTCAAAGTCCAGCCACTGCTTTCAATCTAGTTGTGGGGGTTGCATAGTCCACCATCCTATGCAGGAGTCAAACCGGCAACCTTGTTGCACACTGAGCCATCCAGCAGCTCACAGCTGCTCAGCTCAAGGTGCCGTGTTCAATCTTAGTTTTGTGTGTGTGTGTGTGGGAGGGGGTGTGCGCAGCTCACCATCCTATACAGGTGTCGAACTGGCAACCTTGCTGCTAAGAGCACGTGCTCTCATCAGCTCAGCGGCAGCTCAGCTGGGGCACAGCTCACTGGCCTATGTGGGAATCCAACCGGCGACGCTGTTGCTTAGAGCTTGCGCTCTTAACCAACTGAGCCACTCAGCCGACCCTTTATATGTCTTTTAAGTCTCCCTTACTTTAAGGTCCCTCTCCATCCTGTCCTTTTCTTTAGTATTTACCTGTTGAAGAATCCAGACCATTTGACCTGTAGAATTTCCCATAGTTTGGATTTTCCTGATGGTA